TAATATTTGTGCCATTTTGCAAATAATAATAATAATAATAGTAGTACATGATTAATACATTTCAAGTGTCTGGGACTGACTGCAGCAGATTTCTGGTATAACCTTTCATAGACTTAAAACTACAACACAAACATATTCATTTTTCTAATACTCAATTCAAAAGAAATGATGATTTGCTAACATTATGTGACATATTAGGATAACTTGATCATAAAATGATACCATGTTCAGTTCTGTAAAATAATGTGTTTACTGTAAACCAGTTGGGACAGGGAGTAGTAGTGTAGTAAAAGACCATTACACACAGTACAAAATATTTAGTATGAATAAATCATACACTCTTTTTCTATATCAGGGTGTCCGCAGGGTCTTAAAAAGTATTAAAAGTTGATAAATCAATTTAGAGAAAATGAAGGCCCTTAAAAAGTATTAAAAAGTCTTAAATGCCATTTTCCAAGGTATTAAATTTTGTATCATCTTTTCATTATGTATATTTGTCCAAATAGTGGGGTTCTGTGTAGTTTATTTATGGAATAAATTTATGTAATCTGTTACGGCGCTCACTGACTGACTGAGCTGCTGCGTGATAGCCCGGGGCTTGTTGATCCCGCTCTGCTCTCGCTGAATTTCTGACCATTATCGCATGCTCCCATCCGCTCCCGTGATTTTTGTGTCCGCTCCCGTAAACATTCTAATATTGTATATAATTTTAGCGCATCAGGGCGCCGCTATCAATATGTGGGGTATTTAAATTAAATTAAAACTTTTGAATGAGCGCTCGCAGTCGCAGTTCACTTTCACTTTCAATTTCGCGATCGTGCGGGCACTGTGTGAAGGGAGCACATCTTACGATAAAAGATATTTGTCAATGAGCTCGGGATATGTTGAGGAGAAAATCTTCCAACATCTTGTCAGTTATCTCTCCTTACTTTTGACCTGTGATCAGGCAAATCTGACTTCTGCAGCTCGTGTTGGATGCAGGGTTGTTGTTATTTTTTTCCACGAAATTGGGCTGCTTTTAAACTGTTGCCATGGGTTGATGCACAATTAAAATGATGTAATAGTTGTGATCATTATTTTACTTCTCATGATCATTCAGACACGAACAGGTGCAGTACTGACACTCTGTCAAGTCTGCATCAAATCAAGCACTCTGTAATCACGGGTAAACTGTCTGATCAGTCAGATGTTTGTCATGAGAAGTGTTCCACAAAACAGCTATGGTTTGCAGACAGTTACAAGAGTTGATGTGACAAATACATCTTTTACTTATACTGTGTGAACTCATTGCCCCTTTAGCTCGGAGAGCTTTATTTTCCCTCCTCAATCAGTTTTGTCAGTTGTTTTGTTTATTGGTCTAATTCTTGTTTCTTGGGTTAGTCACTCAATTAATTCTCTTGTGCTTCATTCCCCCCCTTCTGAATTATGTTGTATTGATAAGGAGTTATCACAAAGTAAGTCTGTTTAGTTGTGCTATCTTACAATCAATATATAGTAAATGTAAGTTAAAGTGTCGCCGATGTAACCGGTTAAAACTTGGAGTGGCGATGAGGTCTTAAAATGTATGGAAATAGTCTTAAAAAAAAAGGTCTTAAAAGGTATTAAATTTAACTCCATGATTCCTGTATATACCCTGTATATTACTTTATTTATATAGGCTTCTAAATCCACACATGACCATTATATGTGGAAGACAAAGTTCTCACAAATAATTAACTAGATTTTCCCACTTACCCCTTCTTGTCTTTCTCTAACACACTTACTTTCACCTCCTACGGTTTAGTCATAAATGTTTCATCCTCATTTCAGGAAGTAGCAAATGTGCAGGTTTTTACTGTACACTCTGAGGTCAAAGACATGCTTTTTTGCCTACATACAAACACATGAACAGTTTCTGAATGAACGTAAGATTTATTTTTACACAAAACCATCTCATGTACTGTACATACATGAATATAGATAATAGATTGATCTCATAGACATTTCCTTGACTAATTTCATCTTTGAAATGCCCTTATATTGTGTGCCCCTAAAAAATGAATGCATTATTTACAGAAGTAAATAATAATACTGTTAAATAAAATGCTTGCTTAGGTTGCTTTGTCTCAGTATACTTGTAGACACAATGAAAAAGAGAGAGAGAGAAGTGCAACATGCTTATTATCCCTGACAGAAATGAAGAGAGATAGAGAAATGAGAAGTGGAGTGGCTGAAGATCGTGCAAGGGTCTGGATATTTCTCATAAACTCTTGTGCTTGCAAGCACTTAAAGTGCCAAGAAATGTTGGTTTGCGTGTGCTTTTGAAAGTTTCCCTCAACTCGCACTGTTCTCAGACTAAGAAAAGGCATTGTAAGCAACTAAGTGCACTTCAAAAAAAAATAATAATAACTTGCTGTCGGGCACTAACCAATGAGAAGCATCTTTGAACTTGCTGATTGGGCATATAGAAGTGTGTATGACGAAACAGAGGGACGTGAGCATTGCACCTGCAGTGGTCTCATGACTTTGTCATGGTCTTTGTCAGATATGACTATATAGAGATGAAACAACAGAACATTCTTGGCTAATCTATTCCTGTAGGTGTACTGTATATGCAGTGTTGGGGAGTAACTAGTTACATGTAACGGCGTTCCTAATTTAATTACAAAATAAATGTAACTGTAATCAGTTACAGTTACTAAGAAAAAATGTGTAATTAAATTACAGTTACTTATGAAAATGTTAACGATTACAAAGGGGATTACATTTGAATATTTACACACATCCACATACAGATTTAATTGATTTCTTTCCCAAATTGCACTGACTACTCTGAGACATACGGCCCTATAATGTCCGCGATGCGGAAAACACAGACTGGTTCGTAGAATCCAGTCATAAAAACAGAATTCCTATAGCCTAACGCGGACGGAATATGCCACATTTTGGACGAATAAATCAAAAGTAGGTCAGTGCACTTTAATCAAAACGCGATATGGACTAGTGTCTGTGAATATTAAGCCGCGAAAAGACAATATATGAATCCTGCACGTTCTGCGTGTCTGTGGAAATCAGGCGCGGACTGGTCATCGGGAGAACCAGGACAATTCCCGGTCGCCTGGCAGCCGATTTGGCCCGATATTTTAATATCATTGTTGTATAATTGCCTGCCGAATGTACTAAAGCGTACTTTAATAAAGTAATTGAAAAAGTTACACTACTATTACATTTTAAATAGGGTAACTTGTAATCTGTAACCTATTACATTTCCAAAGTAACCTTCCCAACACTGTGTATATGTCACTGCTTCCCTTCAATGCCAAAGCCTTTAGTGTCCCAGAAGCGTTGAATGCATCTGACGTCTGATTGTAAAACACCCAGTCATGATGAGCCAGGTTTTGAATGCACAGCCCACACGAACTAAACTGCCCCACAGGACCAGAATCAGGCTGGTCCTGTGGTGCATTCTTAAAGCATGCTGGTATTTGCAAAGTATACTGTATATCCCTGTATGGCATGACCACCAAAAAGACTTTTTTATATAAATACAGATATATCTTTATTATTTTTTTCCTCATTCTGACTGGTGGGTGTTTTTCCTCCTCTAACATTCCTTTAGGGACATCATTGCACATTTATGTGCTATATTTGGAAGCTACAGTCTGAGCAATTCCTCTGCATCCATTATCCTTCTGCACACCCTCACTCGGTGTTAAAGAGAGAATCATTAATACACACACATTTCATGTTCATTCTTGTTTTAATCAATTTAATTTAGAAATTGTACCATATTTAGATTTCAAAAAAATAATAAATACAATTTTTAAATATAATAAATTAAATTATATATTTAAAAAAAAAATTGTGCATATACGTTTATAATGAAACATTTTAGTTGATGATAATGTACAAAATGTGTCAAATTGTAACAGATCAAACTGTGACTAAACTTTCAAATATTTTAATTTTAATTAATATATAAAATTAAATTTAAAAATTTATATTATTAATATGAATATTTGTCAATATAAATGTTATGTATCAACATATAAAAGACGTACAGTATATATACATAAAATACTATTTTTGTTGAATCCTTGTGGTATATACTATATTGTATATACTGAAGTATTTGCTACTTAAAGAAGTAGTTCACCCAAAAATGAAAATTTGTTGAAAATGTACTCAGTCTTCGGCCATCCGAGATGTAGATTAATTTGTTTCTTCAACAGAACAGCATTGTATCACTTGCTCTGCAATGCATCCTCTACAGTGAATGGGTCAGTATGACAGTCAAAAAAGCTGAGAAAGGACTGGACAATATTATGGATAGATTACTTCTATTTTAGCCAGAAACAACAGTTTGAATTAACATTTTGATGATGGATTTGTTTGTTACAAACACAGAGTTTTTCGCTTCACAAAAAGTTAATTCATGGACTGGAGACTTGTGGATTACTTGTGGAATATTATGATGTTTTTATCAGCTGTTTGAACTCTCATTCTGACGGCACCCATTCACTGCAGAGGATGCATTGGTTAACAAGTGATGTAATTCTACATCTACATCTTGGATGGCCTGAGGGTGAATACATTTTTTGCAAATTTTCATTTTTAGGTAAACTATTTCTTTAAGTTATGTGTTGCATGTTGTTCTGATGAAATCCAAATCGCAAGTCACACATTTTTACAAGCACATAACTTAGTTCAAGTTCATTATTGTTCACAAAGATGGCTTGAATGAGCACTCTTTTGAAAGTAAAAATGGGGTAAAAGGGACACGGATTATGGCCTTTTGCACAGACATGTGCATTCAGCTATTAACTTGATAGAATTTTTAACAAATTTGAAACATTTTTCATAGAATTTTAAAATTCTAAAGTCCACCTATTCCCTAAACCCACCAGATTGCTCATTATTATGTATTAAAAAGAAAGAGACACAGAGAGAGAAAAGCGAATGTGCAGAATCAGGAGTGCTCAGATCTCTTTATTGTCTCTCTGTGTGTGGGTTGTATTCAGAAGTGGTAGCAGGAGGTGAAGTGCATGTGATTAGTCTTCTCCAATAACAAATAAGTGTGTGGAGTAAATTCTCATTTGCCATCTCCCACGACTGACCTCCACACCTACATACAAAAGACAGCACAATTAATCAAAGCCACGCAAGGCAGGAAATCAGTTCTGTCAGTCGTAGGGCCCATCATTGGCCACACCGCTGATATGCAGCAATCAAACGCTCCTAACAAGCTTTTATTAACAGATGTGTCACAGAGCTAACCCTCTAATAAGGCAGGTCACTTCTCTGCCGCCAGTGTCCTTCCACACGGGGATGAGACAAGTTTCAGGAAGGAACATTTTGGGTTAAATACAATTTAAGCACTTTTAAAAAGAATCTATTGTATGGCATGCTGCTGATTATCACAGCAAATGATTTCAACTCATCCCACAGTAAAATGCATTTACAGTAATGTTCTTATAATGGAAGTCTTTTTAAGTATGACTTTTTGAGTGATATTTTATGTTAAAAGCGCTATATAAATAAAGGTGACTTGACTTGACTTGACATAAACTTGACTGTTTTATTAACCATCATTAGGGTTTACTGCCGGGGTACTCAACAGGTGGCCCTGTTGACTGCATTCATTTTGTGGCCTGCGTCATGCTGAAGATTAATGTATTTTATAATTTGCGCTCAAGAGTAGCTCAAATATTAGTCAGTGTGACTTTATGCTTGCGTCATTTAAATGCAGTTGATACTCCTGACACTTTGCATTGTGTAAATGGCAGATGGTCCAAGAAAAACAAACTTGTATTCAAATTGTCAATGGGTTAAAGCAAGCAAAAAGGGCTCCCATTACAATGAATGGAGCTGTAATCACGACAATAAATGTGTTAATTTTAAATATAGTTTATTATTATGAAAGTACCAGAGATGGCACAGATACACACAGATAAACCATATATTGTCACGTTGTGTGTTTATTGTCTTCATGTTTAATCAGTTCAAGCGTTTCTATCTTCTCTTTATAGAGTGTTTTCACGACACGTCATCAATCCGGAAGTCGGCCATATTGGCGGCACTGAATGTAAACAATGCCATTGAACCGAACGGAACTCGCAAATTTTGCTGCTGAAAATGGTCAGTTATTGTCGTGTTTTGGGCTGTACTTATTGGTCGGACCGGGAAAAACATGTACTATAGACTGCCAAAAGGAGAAGAGTGCAAAAAAACTGTCTGAGGAAAGACGTGAAAGTTGTTAAGTATTGTAACCCATACTCAGAAATTGTGCTCTGCATTTAACCCATCCAAGTGCACACACACAGCAGTGAGTAGTGATCACACACACCCAGAGCAGTGGGCAGCCATTTGTTCCAACAACCGGAGCAAATAGAGCACTGTACATTCACTTCCCTGCCGGTACTGAGACTCAAACCTGCAACCTTCGGGTTACAAGTCTGACTCTCTAACCATTAGGCCACATCTGCCTATTTAGGAGCCAGCTCATACAGATCTTTACCACCTATAAACTTTAGTTTGTCCACATATCGTGCCCTTTCCTGCTTACTAAGTCCTTTTCTGTATGATTTAGCAGCTTCCACATGTTTTTTTCCGTTATTTAGACATCATAAATTAGTAGAACAACATCTTCAGTAGTAACCATGCAATCCATGCTGTTGTTTACATCCGAGTATCTCCAATATGGCTGCACATCTGGGTAACTGACCAAACGGTGACATAGGTGCAAACGCTCTATTCAGTCACAGGCCCTGTCCCAAATGGCACACTTCATGTGCACTTGCGGTCTTACAATGGCCGCCACATGCAAATGTCCATTAAGTCCAGGAGACCGTATGGGTGTCCCATTCTTCATTTGTGGCAGCTATGCACCCTCGATGCACACTTCTGCAGACTTCTACCTGACAGTCAAAGCAACATTATGTCATGAAAGTGTGGACTCAGAGGAAGACCGCCAGGGTTTAGGGTGCGATTTGGTACAGGGCCACAGCGATAGCTGGATGCCTTTGTCCATATTAGAGATTTCCTGGAACACCATGAGTTCTATTACTGCTGTGATGCACAATGTGGAGTTTCTACGAGGGCTCCCTCTGGCATCCTGTATGAATGAAACAGACATTACATGTGTTTAGCGCTCAGTAATGCACACACCATCCTATTTTGGGCATAAATAGGAAAAATAACACTAAAAATAAGACTGTCTTTAAAGAAATTTGTGAACTATATTTGCAAACTATAGTTTGTACATTCCGTGTTTGTTTAATACTCTGTTCTCTAGATCAGTGGTATGAATGCATTTTTTTTTTTTTTGCATTAATATAGCAAAACAAACTGTTAATCCACTTTTTTGTTCCAGATTTTTTACATTTTTCATTTTTATTTTCAGTATTATTTTTAATAGGACAAGGACAAGCAAGACTTAATAAACTGCATTTCTACCAGAAAGACTTAGGAGGCAAGAGAACGCCTGAATAAGATTTATTTATTAAGTGGTATGCAAATTGGTTGCAAATATATGATATGATAAAGTTATTTGGCGTAGGCCCCATCCATAGTCCGAATCTGGAGGGTTGCAGATACTTGCTGTTCCTGCCTGAAGATGAAGGCTGGGACAGAGCCTACCCCCTGATGTATGGACAGGGACTGACCTGGTGGTGGTGGGGAGGATGGAGTTGAATGCCGGTGTCAGCATCTGCGAACACAATAATGACTGAGAGCAGTATGAGTGAGATGAGTAATGAATGATGTGACATTAGAGTCTTTTCGTAGAACATGTGCTAGAGCTCCCATTTCTAAATCAGGGAAACTGCAAATATTGTCTTAAATAAAGTCTTATTATGCTAATTGTAATTTGTGGCCCTTCGCATTTTATGTGGTTTAAATGTGGCTCCCTTGGCCTCTAAACTCGAGTACCCCTGGTTTACAGTATACAGTATAAACATCTATTGTACATGCATTACTGAAAATAAGTTTTCACTTTAAGAAATTGTTAGGAGTTCAGTACAAATTAAATTCAATTGTCTGTGAGATAATACTAATTACCACAAATAATAATTTGCAATTGTCTCTCTCAGCTTTATTATAAGCTTTACTTTGAAATATATTTTATTAGTATATTTTTCTGTTTTCATTTTAATTTTAGTTTTAATTTTGTTGTAAGTCTTTATAATTTTTTTAAATGTCTATATACTTTTTTTTATTTTTTTTTTATGAAGTTTTAGTTACAATACGAGTTTGGAAAGACATGAAGGTGAGTAAATAATTGTCCAATTTTTATTTTTGGGTGAACATCTCTACATTCCTGAAGTGAATTCAAAGTGCAGTATGTTAACCAAAACAGTCCATATATATACAGGGTATAATATACAACTGCAAGCAAAGAATAAAGGGCAAAATGATGTTGAAACTTCCAGCTCCAATACAACCTCATTCATCTGACCTCTCTTGTAAAGGCGGGTGGACTCCAATATCTCTAAATGTTGTGTTTTATCATAGTATTATTGTCCTGGAAAGCCTGGCATGATTCCCAGAAACCCCTCAGTATAATAGGGAATGCTTGTAAACGGCCAGTCATTGTGTCTCTGTGAGTCTCCACACAATACACAGACCTTGAGCCTCCAATTTAAATCACACTAAACAACGACAAGAGCAGTACACCGAAATACATGCCAACTCGAAGTACTTTCAAACCGCAGAGAGAGGCAAATGCTGTGTATGGTGTCTCTTCAGCAGTGTTCTGTATATTTTAGCACGAATGTCAGTGAGCATTTCCAGACAGTGCAGGAGGAGATTTGTTGGAGAGGTATTAGAATAACAGGTTCTGAGCTGCATGTTTTTGCTGCTGAGGGAGTTCTGACTGTTTCTCTGCTCGGACAGATGCAAAAATCTGTTGTAACCACTAACAAAAAGTTACCAAAACGTACCAAGGTATCATCTCAGAGGAAACTGTTATTCCTCAGAAGCTGGCCCGGCAGGCTTAACAGTTATCGCATTTATGTCTACACGTTGAAACCTCTGTTAAATTAATTTGAAATTGAAATTTTTGGTTACATTTTAATTTAAGATGAACTTGTTACAGTGTAATTATATGTTTGAGTAATGAGTAATAGTAAGCAACATGTACTTATATGGTTCGGGTTATGAATAAGGTTTGGTTTCAGGTTAGTTTCATGTAATTTTGCATCATTTACTATTATCACTACATGTTCAATTCATGTAACCTGAAACAAGGACACTATAAAATAAAGTGTTACCAGATATTTTTCTTTTCTAATATTATTTATTTATTTTTTATTTATTTCTTTTTTTTTAATACAGACTGCAAACTTTTGAACAGCAGTTTTTATGATATACTATTAATCTTTGAAGACTGGAAAACAAATTAAGATGTTCTGGTACAGTATGTATCTTCAGAGGTACAGGGACAGATACAGAAAGCCCAGACTTAGTGAAAACATTCCAGGGCTGTAACTACCACATCAATCTTATTCAGAAAGTCTATGATGTAAGCTCATATTTTAGGTCCTCATATATCTCTCCCTCACCATGTGTGTGTGTGTGTGTGTGTGTGTGTGTGTGTGTGTGTACTTGTGGTGGTTCATGCCTCTGTGACTCACACTCTTCAGATGAAGGACTCCCTGAATAAAGCTGCATCCCCCAAGGCTGAAACGCAACCTTTCTTTCCCCTCACTGGCTGGGAATGTCAACAGAGTTAAAACATCCACTGGTGTCCACTGCTCGTTCACACACAAACACAAACCTCCTAAACTTACTCTTTATTCCCAAGTTGAAAGGTATATTTTCAGTTATTGGACAATTGCATACTGTACACAGGAGCAATACATTTTCTGATTGCAAGCTGCCTACTCCTGTCTCAGAAGATATTTGGTCCCAGAGCCTGAAGGCAGAAAGTCTTGTCTATCATGCACATCCCTGTCCATACAGCTGTGCTTCATAGACTGCTCACCCATGAGTAACACAACAACAAGAGAATTAACACAGTCAGCATTTTCCAAAGGAACTGATTCAAAACCTGGAGAGCTGCAAACATATAGGCAGCATTTTTCAGGCATCATAGACCCACTCCCAAAGTGAGGTCTCAGCTGTGAGAAGCAGAGTGTTTGAATATATAATAAAATGTAATATATTGCTGCAATGGCAAAGCTGAATTTTCAGCAGCCATTACTCCAGTCTTCAGTGTCACACGATCCTTCAGAAATCATTATAATATTATATTTTTCACTGAAAATTCAGCTTTGCTATCACAGGAATAAATTATATTTGACAATATATTCAAATATAACCCGTTTATTTCAAACTGTAAAATTATTTCACACTATTATGAATTAAATATTAAGCCTTGGTGAGCATAAAAGACTTCTTTCAAAAACTTTTAAAAATCAATATTATTCCAAACTTTTGGCCACCAGTGTATTTATGTAGGGTGAAAGAGTGTTACAGGGTTACAAGTTGAACAAGCCCTCTGTTCTTACAGATGGAGGAATCAAATGGACCATTCATCTGATAAATACATGATAGAATGTGATTTACTGCCTTTGTCACCATGTAGCATCCATCTACTGACCTAAGATCAGAAAAGGTATTTCTTCAATCATTAGTTACAGACACTGAGTAAGAACAAAATGCTTCTCTCAGCACTGCCATCCATCCTCATTATAACTGGGCACAGCCAATAAGCAGCCAGTTATGTTCCAGCATTGTTACATTCCTATATTTATGCTGTGTATCTAATACTTTTATTTAGCAATTGATCAAAAGTGACAGTAAAGATATTTATTATGTTCTATTAATCAAAGAATAAATATTCAACAGCACAACTGTTTTCAACATTGATAATAAGAAGAATTTTTTTCTTAAGCACTGCATCAGCATATTAGAATGATTTCTGGATCAAGGATCATGTGACCCTGAAGACTGCAGTCATGGCTGCTGAAAATTCAGAATTCCATCCCAGGAATAAACTACATTTTAATATATATTAAAATAGAACATTTAAAACTATAATAATATTACACAATATTACACACTGTTGGTATGTTCATATTTA